CATTTAAAAATTAGATTATATTTTAACAATAGGATTGTTTTCCTTTTTTATAGTGGATTTACCTGTGCTCCTTTGGCTGGGCCAGTTGCATGGTGCTCTATGTGCATAGTGGAATGGGCTAAGCACCTTGATTTATTTGGCCAAGTGAGGTACCCAGGGTCTTAAGCACGTCCACACCTGTTTCCTATCCTGCCAAAGGGGAATGTGCATCTTGTTTTTGTTTTTGTTTTGTTTTAATTTAAGAGCTTTTAATTTTCTGATTTTTGTGCTGAATTTTTGAAATCTTGATTATTACATGCCTTGGTGTAGATTTATTTTGATCATAATTAATTGGAGTTGTACATGCCCTACTTACCTCTATATCAAATTCTTTTTCCATATTTTGGAGCTGTTCTGCATTACTTTTATGAACAAAGCTGTCTTTTATATTATTTGTGATGAATCCTGCTTTTTAATTCACCTCAAAGATTTTCTTTTGTTTTCATGGTCCCTTTCTATTTTGAGATCTTTGTTTTCTCTAATTAAAATCCTGTGTTCTAAGTTTGACATTCTATCTTCACTTTTGTTTGGTCATTTTTCAAGCTTTTAATACAATATTTAATTTCCTGGTTATTTGTTTGACTCTATTTCACTTATTCTCTCTTTTTCCTATGTTTGCAATTCTTAGTTTCTATAATTTTGCTAGCCTAGACTATGTTTTTCTCCCTGTACTCTAGATTTTCTGAACAAGGTCTCCATTATGCTCATCATTTTTTAGCTGACAGATTATTTATGATCTTATTTCCTCTATAATACCATACGCCTAATTTGTTAAAATTTCTACTGATATCATTTAAGAAAATTCAGGTAGATAACTTCTTATTTCCTCTACCTCACTGTCCCCTCCTCTTGTTCTTGTTGGGACAGTGACCTATCGTTGCATTTTGCCCTTGTAATTTTTTCATTTTCTATTTTCTTTTTGTGATGTTTGCAAATTTCTTACAGTACATAGTTTTATCCATATTATGAAAACCTTTATTAGATAATGTCTTTCCCTCAGAGAGTACTTCTAGGTGCAGCCAATCTTTGATTTTTGTGTCTGTCTCAATAAACTGCCTTCCCAATTTATTTAAGATGAATTGTTGCTATCTATTTGGCTAAGCACCTATTACTTTGGTAGTGGAGCATGGTGATTGTTATGACCCCAGACAATCATGGTGTTTTTAATTAAGAGAGAGCAATTCATTATAATTGGTATGACGTCTTCATAAACTAGTGCAATTGGCAACAACAATAGCATCAAAAACAGTTTAACACCTGACAAACTGGTAATTATTAATTTGGTACCTTTAACCATAGGTTAAATGGTACCATTTGGTATCATTGCTCATAGTGGCAAGACTTACAGTTATATAACAAAATCAAACATAAATCAAAAACTTGTGGACCAGGAGTGTAGCTCAGTGGAATAAGAACCTGCCTGGCAAGTGTAAGGTTTGGAATTCAATTCTTGATTTTTTTTTAAAAGGAAGAAACTTATATACAAAGAATTTCTACTTAGTAAAATAATTTTACTCTGTGCTTGGGAAATTTAAAAGAGATGAGGGACAAAACAGAGATAAATTAGGATAAATGAAGAAGCAAGGCTGGATGATCACAGTCCTTGGAAAACTAGAGAAGGCAGGAAAGAAATAATAAAGAAGTGAGCAAAAGATAATCAAAGTGAACCAGAAACACTAAAGAAATGTTCACTGAAATGACAATGTATAAAATTAAATGTGATAATTGAGAAAAGAAAGAAGATGAATAGAACAAAAATATGTGTAAGAACTTAAAAAACAAAAGTAGGAGAAAGAGAGAGAGGGAGAGAGAGAGAGAGACAGAAATAGAGACAGAGAGACAGAGAGAGAAAGAGATAGAGAGAGAGACAGACAGACAGACAGACAGACAGACAGACAGATAGACAGAGAAGGAGAGAGAATGAAACAAAGAAAAAGTTCCTCGATGTCCACTGTGGTATGGTAGCTCCCAAGTCAGAGAGCCCAAAACTTCTGGGTAAATTCAACAAAAGTGCACTTAGGTAGAGCGCAACTGCCAGGATTTGATTCCTAGTGTGCGGGGCCAGCCCCACCCCCAGGGTGCTCTGAGACCATGATTGAGACAGGGAGTGATGGCAGATGGCTTTAAGGGTTTGGAGGCTGAAAACAAGAGAATCGCTACAAGTCCTATCTATGTAGTGAGACCCTATAGGCCCTGTAGACTCTGTCCTAACTACAA